TCGGAGGAACTACGGGTGTCGGTGCTGGTGCCGGTGTCGGAGGTGGTGTGAGTGGTAACGTCGGTGCTGGCGTGGGCGTGGGCGGTAATGCTGCTGTCGGCGCTGGTGTGGGCGGGGCTGCGAACGGTGGAGTGAGTGCCAATGCTGGTGTCGGCGCGGGAGTGAGTGGGAACACTGGTGCTGGCGTCGGAGGTGGAGCGAGTGGAGGTGCTAACGGTGGAGTGAGCGCCAATGCTGGTGTCGGAGGTGGTGTCGGCGGATCGGCCGGTGTCGGCGGATCGGTCGGTGTGGGAGGAGCGGCAAGTACTGGTGCGGGTGGAGCTACGACAACGACGGACGGCAGAACTAGCACATCTACGTCGCAGAACGGCGGGGCCAAGGCAACTGCAACTACCACGACTGCAGGCACGACCACCGGCACCGCCGGCACGGGTGCTTCGACGAAGCAGACAGGTTATCGCATGCTGCGATCGCAGTGAGCCGAGGAATAGTGTCTTGTTGACTACTTCTCCTGGCTACGTTGATCAGCTCTTAGCTCATCTCGCTCAAAGAGGCGATCTGCCGATATCTGTGTATAATTTTTAATACCGTCGTGTAGTAAGAAAATAAATGTGCTGTTGTTTCTCATTGCTGTCGGGTTTTGCTTCTTTATGCGTCGCTTGCAGTTAGTAAGCATCGTATCAATCTAATTTGCTGAATGTTTGGTGCGTAGAGCACTTTTTGATTCCGAATTATACTATGTTTAGTAACTGTGATATTGAAGTTGCACTCGAGAAAGGCAACTTGCTGCTTTTGTGAGTACATGAGCAAAAGAAAACATCGAGTAGCTTAGCTCAGGATTCTAGCGCACTCTTGCGTGCTGGCTGCATTATTGACCAGCTCCCGGCCGTCTGCACCGGGCCCGTATCCAGTTAAGAGCAGTCATGACCGTGTCAGCTGCGTGACGGTCATTGGAGGCACATGTTACTTAGAGTTTGGCCTTTGCAAGAACCTACAATGTAAGCATATCTATGGGCCTCCGCATACTAACAAAATGCTGGTCATCATGGCGTCCAAAAAGACCTTGTCCCTGTCGATTGTGTGTCTATACCAAGTAGACTCCTCGCACGCAGTGTGCTCTCTTATACCCCCTACCTGCCTTGTACACATGATCTAGACGACCGTCAATGCGGGACCGACGGAAAAGGTTGCCGAGTGGCGCCGTCCAGAGCTCATTTCCCATTCTCCTCACTCGAGCTCACATCAAACAGCTCTCGTGCATTCGAAGGCTGTCCAAGAACACGCAAGCGCAACATGTTCAGCAGTAGCAAGATCGCCGCCGTGTGCCTCGCCGTCGTGGCGCTAGCCAACAGCGCGTATGCTGAGAAGGAGGCCGCCCAGACGTTCGGACTGCTTGGCGCTGGTCTGCACGGTGGTGCGGGACTCTATGGAGCTGGCGCTGCCGGTCTTTATGGTGAAGCCGGCGTTGGTGCTGGTCTGTACGGTCGAGGTGCCGGCTATGGTGGCGCTGGTGCTGGTCTGTACGGTCGAGGTGCTGGTGGCGTTGGTGCTGGTCTGTACGGTCGAGGCGCCGGATATGGTGGTGCTGGTGCTGGGCTGTTTGGTCGGGAAGCCGGCTACGGAGGCGCTGGTGCTGGGGTCGGAGCTGGCGTTGGCGGCGCGGGCCTCGGTAACGGATACGGCGGTGTTGGTGTCGGAGGAACTACGGGTGTCGGTGCTGGTGCCGGTGTCGGAGGTGGTGTGAGGGGTAACGTCGGTGCTGGCGTCGGTAATGCTGCTGTCGGCGCTGGTGTGGGCGGGGCTGCGAACGGTGGAGTGGGTGCCAATGCTGGTGTCGGCGCGGGAGTGAGTGGGAACACTGGTGCTGGCGTCGGAGGTGGAGCGAGTGGAGGTGCTAACGGTGGAGTGAGCGCAAATGCTGGTGTCGGAGGTGGTGTCGGCGGATCGGCCGGTGTCGGCGGATCGGCCGGTGTGGGAGGAGCGGAAAGTACTGGTGCGGGTGGAGCTACGACAACGACGGACGGCAAAACTAGCACATCTACGTCGCAGAACGGCGGGGCCAAGGCAACTGCAACTACCACGACTGCAGGCACGACCACCGGCACCGCCGGCACGGGTGCTTCGACGAAGCAGACAGGTTATCGCATGCTGCGGTCGCAGTGAGCCGAGGAATAGTGTCTTGTTGACTACTTCTCCTGGCTACGTTGATCAGCTCTTAGCTCATCTCGCTCAAAGAGGCGATCTGCCGATATCTGTGTATAATTTTTAATACCGTCGTGTAGTAAGAAAATAAATGTGCTGTTGTTTCTCATTGCTGTCGGGTTTTGCTTCTTTATGCGTCGCTTGCAGTTAGTAAGCATCGTATCAATCTAATTTGCTGAATGTTTGGTGCGTAGAGCACTTTTTGATTCCGAATTATACTATGTTTAGTAACTGTGATATTGAAGTTGCACTCGAGAAAGGCAACTTGCTGCTTTTGTGAGTACATGAGCAAAAGAAAACATCGAGTAGCTTAGCTCAGGATTCTAGCGCACTCTTGCGTGCTGGCTGCATTATTGACCAGCTCCCGGCCGTCTGCACCGGGCCCGTATCCAGTTAAGAGCAGTCATGACCGTGTCAGCTGCGTGACGGTCATTGGAGGCACATGTTACTTAGAGTTTGGCCTTTGCAAGAACCTACAATGTAAGCATACCGGTACATATGGGCCTCCGCATACTAACTAGCAAAATGCTGGTCATCATGGCGCCTTAAAAGACCTTGTCCCTGTCGATTGTGTGTCTATACCATGTAGACTCCTCGCACGCAGTGTGCTCTCTTATACCTACCTGCCTTGTACACATGATCTAGACGACCGTCAATGCGGAACCGACGGAAAAGGTTGCCGAGTGGCGCCGTCCAGAGCTCATTTCCCATTCTCCTCACTCGAGCTCACATCAAACAGCTCTCGTGCATTCGAAGGCTGTCCAAGAACACGCAAGCGCAACATGTTCAGCAGTAGCAAGATCGCCGCCGTGTGCCTCGCCGTCGTGGCGCTAACCAACAGCGCGTATGCTGAGAAGGAGGCCGCCCAGACGTTCGGACTGCTTGGCGCTGGTCTGCACGGTGGTGCGGGACTCTATGGAGCTGGCGCTGCCGGTCTTCATGGTGGAGCCGGCGTTGGTGCAGGTCTGTACGGTCGAGGTGCCGGCTATGGTGGTGCTGGTGCTGGGCTGTACGGTCGAGGTGCTGGTGGCGTTGGTGCTGGTCTGTACGGTCGAGGCGCCGGATATGGTGGTGCTGGTGCTGGGCTGTTTGGTCGAGAAGCCGGCTACGGAGGCGCTGGTGCTGGGCTGTTTGGTCGGGAAGCCGGCTACGGAGGCGCTGGTGCTGGGGTCCGGAGCTGGCGTTGGCGGCGCGGGCCTCGGTAACGGATACCGGCGGTGGTTGGTGTCGGAGGAACTACGGGTGTCGGTGCTGGTGCCGGTGTCGGAGGTGGTGTGAGTGGTAACGTCGGTGCTGGCGTGTGCGTGGGCGGTAATGCTGCTGTCGGCGCTGTTGTGGGCGGGGCTGCGAACGGTGGAGTGAGTGCCAATGCTGGTGTCGGCGCGGGAGTGAGTGGGAACACTGGTGCTGGCGTCGGAGGTGGAGCGAGTGGAGGTGCTAACGGTGGAGTGAGCGCCAATGCTGGTGTCGGAGGTGGTGTCGGCGGATCGGCCGGTGTGGGAGGAGCGGCAAGTACTGGTGTGGGTGGAGCTACGAAAACGACGGACGGCAAAACTAGCACATCTACGTCGCAGAACGGCGGGGCCAAGGCAACTGCAACTACCACGACTGCAGGCACGACCACCGGCACTCGCCCGGCACGGGTGCTTCGACGAAGCAGACAGGTTATCGCATGCTGCGGTCGCAGTGAGCCGAGGAATAGTGTCTTGTTGACTACTTCTCCTGGCTACGTTGATCAGCTCTTAGCTCATCTCGCTCAAAGAGGCGATCTGCCGATATCTGTGTATAATTTTTAATACCGTCGTGTAGTAAGAAAATAAATGTGCTGTTGTTTCTCATTGCTGTCGGGTTTTGCTTCTTTATGCGTCGCTTGCAGTTAGTAAGCATCGTATCAATTTAATTTGCTGAATGTTTGGTGCGTAGAGCACTTTTTGATTCCGAATTATACTATGTTTAGTAACTGTGATATTGAAGTTGCACTCGAGAAAGGCAACTTGCTGCTTTTGTGAGTACATGAGCAAAAGAAAACATCGAGTAGCTTAGCTCAGGATTCTAGCGCACTCTTGCGTGCTGGCTGCATTATTGACCAGCTCCCGGCCGTCTGCACCGGGCCCGTATCCAGTTAAGAGCAGTCATGACCGTGTCAGCTGCGTGACGGTCATTGGAGGCACATGTTACTTAGAGTTTGGCCTTTGCAAGAACCTACAATGTAAGCATACCGGTACATATGGGCCTCCGCATACTAGCAAAATGCTGGTCATCATGGCGTCCAAAAAGACCTTGTCCCTGTCGATTGTGTGTCTATACCAAGTAGACTCCTCGCACGCAGTGTGCTCTCTTATACCACCTACCTGCCTTGTACACATGATCTAGACGACCGTCAATGCGGGAAGGTTGCCGAGTGGCGCCGTCCAGAGCTCATTTCCCATTCTCCTCACTCGAGCTCACATCAAACAGCTCTCGTGCATTCGAAGGCTGTCCAAGAACACGCAAGCGCAACATGTTCAGCAGTAGCAAGATCGCCGCCGTGTGCCTCGCCGTCGTGGCGCTAACCAACAGCGCGTATGCTGAGAAAGGAGGCCGCCCAGACGTTCGGACTGCTTGGCGCTGGTCTGCACGGTGGTGCGGGACTCTATGGAGCTGGCGCTGCCGGTCTTCATGGTGGAGCCGGCGTTGGTGCACGTCTGTACGGTCGAG